TCCATATCTAATAAAATGAGCAGCAGGCAGACAGTTTCTTGTTTCCTTGAATGTGTTTTTCACCCGTAGCTGGTTAAGGAGGTGACATGTCCTGAGAGCTGGAGCATCATTAATTAGACAGTTGGACTTTGACTAATCGCTCCAGAAAGAGCACACAGCCCTGAAGATGCCAAACACTCATCTCGGCTCATCATCCACAGCTCCAGCGTGCGCCCTTGACCTCTGTGGGTGCGCGAGTGTGTTCAGGGTGTTGCTTCCGTGAGATCCTTGTGATTCATTTCTGGATGATGTGCACACGCCATAGAAGCCCTAGTGCACTCTGCTGAATATTTCACATCTCCTTCTAATCAAGTGCCACTGCCAATCATAGTTTATGCAAAGAGAGTAAAAATAGAAGTAAAATAAATCTGCATCTAGTGCTAAATAAATGTTGTCTGATGGGATTCCCAACTGAACTTTTTTTTTTTTCCTGAAACTCTTCCCAGCTGCCAGAATTCTACTCCAATAAAGCTATCTTTAATACAAGGTTAAGGAAAGCGGCTGGTGAAGATAACACAGGAACAGATATTGCTGCAACGCAGAAGATAAATTTCAATTTGCTGTTGGTTTCTGCATCTCGGCAGGAGATATGAAATTCTTGTCTTGCAGGGCAAGAATTGATTGGAAAATAAAAATGAATGTGTGGTCTAGTGCATCTGTTGTATGTTGGTTTCTGGGCTTAAGGTCTTTTGAAATGGCGATATATCTCTGCAAAAGGAAGTGACACTTGCATTTTTAGGGAGGAGATAAATGCAATACAAGTCTTTCTTAAAATAGCTGCTACTGTATAAATTCAACTCTTTCCCTTGGGGGCCTGTTCTAATGACATGCACAGAATTAATCCCACTTTCTTCCTCTCTCTATTCTTTCCATTACTGTGTTTGTACAGAAGAATGAAAGAGTCAACAAATTTGTGCCGTCCCCCGCCCGTGTGTATGCTCACAACACAGCCCCGAAGAGTCACAACTGGGGAAGAAGACTCTAGGAAAATGGCAGGAAGCTCCCATTGTCCTGTTCCCTGTCATATCCTTTCCGGCTCCTCAAACCACCTCAGAGGAAGACACGCTGAGGATGTGCAGAGACAGACACAAGGAGAGAGTGAAGACAAAAGGAGGATGGGTGGGACGAGGTAAAAATAATAACAAAGAAGCCAAATGTCATCAACAGTTTGCTACCTGGCTACTTGGGCTTCCTGTGTTGAGCCATACCAGTGCGCACATCCACTTAAGTTGCTAACAGCTGATAACAAAGCCTCGGGACACACTGCCAAGTTCTTTATCTGTGTTTACCCACATGGCAAAGCTGATTAGAGATGAGCAACATTATGAAGCCCCATTGTTTCCTTTCTCATTCCAGTTTCTCCTTCCGTAAAAATGCTGCAAGTGAGTGTGCAGGAAGGGGGGCTCAGAGGATGTGAAGAAGAGCAGAAAGACAATGCCTCGTGTGCATGACGGGTCTTCAGGATGAAAGGAAATAACAGGTCTTTCTTGCAGATTTTGGACATTCATTACTGCCGGCTCGGGTGTGCCTGTGCGTGTGTGTGTTTGCATGACCACATCATTTGTAAAAAAGAAAAACTGGATGCCTTGCTCTAAAACTATTCATCCAGTCCAGTCACCTACAGTAATCTTGACAAAACTCTTAAAATGCACATGTTGGGATAAAGTTTAAAATATAAAAAAAGCATATGTGAATCTTTCGTTTTGTGTTTAGTTTCTAGAAATTTCAGATACAGCGTTAAAAACGAGCAACACGGACTGAACGTCGAGTTGACCACATGTTATCTATCTTTGCCCTGACTTTGTCTCACAAATTTTGCAAGGCACTTCTGTTCAAGAGTCAGCTGCATTCAGATTCTGCTGTGTCTGCACTTGGTGAACCTCATATCTTACATTCCTCCCTGGCTGGCTACAGTTCTTACCCCCAAACTTTCTGGCACTTAGTCTCTCTTACTTTATCTCCGATCTTTTTTATCACAGAGGAAAAGAAAAGAAAGGCGCATGATACAAGGAGAGGAGGTAAAACGGAGGCAGAAAGAGAGCGCATTGGTTTGTTTCTGTGTGTGTTTGTGCGACAGAGACAAGACTAACAAGACAGGGAAAGGTTAACAATGCTCAGCGGTCTTCTTCTGTGTTTACCCGCTGCTTGTCCGCTTAATCATCAAGACACTGGTGACACATCCAAGTCTTACCCCTCCTTTAAGACTCTCCTTCCATCTTCCACCCCCAACTTTGTCTTCAGTCTGACTCCCCTCCGAAAGAATTCAAAGAGCAGCAAAACAGCAGTTCATAAAATATGCGCAGCTCCCTAAAACAAAACCTCCCAGGCCATGTTGTCACTGCATCCTCAAGCATCGTTGTACTCTATATTTTAAAGACAAATCTGGTAATGGGAAAACCCAGGCTGGTAATGCGGGGAGGAGGGAGCTGGGGCTGCATTTATCACTTTCTCTGCTTGAGTTTATTTCTATGTTTGTGTCTGTATGAGGTATGAATGCGAACAGGCTTTCAACCGTCGGTGAAAGTCTCCCATCTGCCTGCGGCCCATTAAGCAGATACGCTCTCCTGTCCCCGTGTTCCACAGTCACACATTCTGCGACCGGGCAAAAAGTAAAAAATAAAAAAAAAATGCTGTGAGAAGAAGCAAGGTGGAAAATTTTCACACTGCCACACTATAGTGAAACATGAGTGGCGACACGACTTAAGAGGAATGGAGAGAAACTTGTAATCTTAGCTCACAGCCTTTGAACTTGGCCCGATGAGACGCAAGCGACCCAAAGCAAAAGGTTCCAAAGAAGAGCTCACTGAAGATTACTCGGAATACTGATTCAGTGTGGAATCCAATTCCTGTGGGAGCCCAGGGGACTATCCGGGAAAGTAAATTATCTGTGTTGTAGTACAGACTACATACTTACAAAATGTATGCAATATGCCATACATAAATTTCAAAGTGAGGCCATGTGTTGGAGCCAAATTTGGATACCACAAAATACATTTATGAGTGCAAAGAATTTTGAGCATCTGTGACTCTTTATAAGACTGACACAATAAATGAGGTCTAGGGTCTCTTAGGTTCTAATTAGGGCAGCTGTTACCATTTTCATTATTTGTGTGCTTGAGTGTGAAAGGGGGGAGAGTGAGTGTGTGCGTGTTGGGGTCCGGAAAATATGCCACTGTCTGGCTACTGCTCCTTTTCATCCAGCTGTTGCTAGTCTATCAGGGAGTGGAGGTTTACTCGTTTCACATTCCTCCCCGGAGCCTTGAATGATGACAAAACCACGCTGAAGGTAAAGATGTACGCACAACACATGGCCATTGGGCATGCTTGGGCTTTTGGTGAAAGTCTGTCTGAGGTGAAAATACAATAAAGCCTAAAGGATTTCAATTTCATTATGCTATCTTTTCTGCCTCCCCACGATCCTCTTCCTCCACTCACCCTGGAAAACATCTGTGTTTAGTGCGAGGTTGTTGTCTATTCTCTTGCATTCAAATTTAATTATTATTTTTCCTCATCCCAAAGTGTTAATACCGCGCTCTAGTTTATCGACGCTGAAAAATGCTGATAAGTCAACAGTTGCTCAGTGTTAATTGCCGAACGCGTCTTTTCTACAACAAGAGCAGCACAAAACGAGTCAAATAAATTGTAGCAGCTGTTCAGAAAGCCTGCTTGCTTTTTTTTTTGTTTGTTTTTGTTTCGTAATAATTGCATTTAAGCCTAAAAACACATCTGTTTTCGGCATCGTTCTGTTAATTCTATTACAGGATAACTAATAATAAGTTACAACGTTGACGTGTGGAGGGAAAACAAAAGCTGACAAGTCGCATTTTCAAAACAAGACGTGCATCAAAAACATTCTTTCTCCTCACAATTCCTTCAAAATTAAAGCATTTTGAAATCTCGATACTGGAAGGTCTGGGGCACAATGAGCAGACTTTGTTATAATCACTCATAAACTCTGTTCTGCCAATAAAAAAGCAACAGGGGGTGGTGGTGGTGTTTGTGTAGGAGAGAGAGGGTGGGGGGGAAACAGGTGCATTATGTCTGCCCGTCTCAAGAAAAACAAATGCTCTCCCTCTCTAGTTTGTGTCTCCCTCATTCTCTGCCCCTTTGCTTTCTCGCTGCCTCCCCCTCTTCCCCGCTCTCACTCTTACCATCTCAAATGCGTGTCCTCGGGAGACCGTGCAGTCCCCGTTGGAAGATACATCGTGTCCGTTTTTGCCCGTTTACGCACCACATGAAAGGAAAAGAAACTTTAGACGCAATCCTGTCAGCTCAGCAGAAACCCCCTCTGGCTTTTGTGTTTTTCCCCATTCTTTTTCTTTTTGTTTAAGGGAATGCAGCGTGTGCAACACCGGACAACTTCAGGGCAAAAAAAAAGATGCAGGGAGCTGCAATGAGCTGTCTCATACCCAGCTTTAATTGTTCTGTTATCACCTGCTTAAATGCGCATTCTTGACGAGCCTCGTTAAAAAAAAAAAAACAACAAAAAAGCATCTTATTTAAAAGACACTCGCGTGTGGAGAAACACTGCGGTCAGGCGCAACCGGTCCCCAGATTTAAGAAATCAAATAAGTGAAACTTTCCGTCTGTGCACCCTCGTACAATGATTCGGAGCCTTTCCATTCAAAACAAGAAAGCTCACTTCGCTCAGGCTTCCGATGTTTGAATAAGATCAGGGGGGCAAAAATCACTGCAAATCTCACTTACGCAGTGCCATTTCTCATCAAGGACTGCTCGCAGACAGAGAAACCTCCTGATGTAATCACTCTTTCAGAACTAATTAAACATTTACCGGCAATTAACAGCAGTGAAATGTAGCATTGCAGCAGATCAGATGCCCACACTACTACAGCAGCGCACTGAATGGCTTGACGCAGCGCGCCAGCACGGAGCGCGGTCCATCCTTCCCCGTTAATAAGGACCCGGGTGGTTAAATGATAGCAAACAAAAGAGTATCTTACCTGTGACCATCACGCAAAAGATGAGGTATAACGAAGACATTTTAGTTGCTCTTGCCGCTGATTGTATTCTATGGAAAGAGTCTCGCTCCGTCTATGCGACTGAGCTGGTTATGGTCCACCGCGGCACCGGTCTCGGGATCACCGGAGATTCGTCTACAATAGCATCCAGTTTAAAGAAACGACTCAGAATGGTCCGAGCAGTCAGTAAACTCGCAGTTAGCAATACATCTCCACAGTTGGTAACTTTCCCCTCTGCATCAGCTTCTTTCCCAGTCTCCGTTCCTTGCCACTGTGGCACAGCTCTCGCCTCACTGTGCTCTCCAGCAGTCCATTAGAGAATCGGGCGTTTCAATCAGAAGGTTCATCCAGAGTCCACTTTGTAACCTGCTTCAGCATGCTGCGCGAAAAAAAGCGATCACTCCTCCTCGACAGTGCGCAGTGATAACCTCGGTGAAGTTACCTCTCGCCCCTCCGCTGGAGTCTCTCACTCTGTTCCCTCTATAACACACTCACTCCCGCTTCTCTCTCTCTCTCATACACACTCTTCCCCGATCGGTCTCCTCGGTTTACTCTCCCTCCTGCCAATTGGAAATGCGCACTGACAGTCATCTGGTGGTGGTACTGGGTAGCCAAATCTGGCAGAAGCTGAGCCTGAGGAGCCCCTTCTTCCTCAGATGCTTGCCGGGGGGGGGGACCCCCGCCCCTAAGGGACTGTGATTGGCTGAGCAGGGATCACGAGGAGGGCATTTAAAAAACTTATTCACAGTTAAATGACTGCTCTAACAGCTTTGGGTGAAAAAACGCTTGAATAATATGAATCCACAGAATAGGATGCTGGAAAAGCAATGTGCTCCCTGTCCTGTAGGGGAAAATGCAGATTCTTGCTGTTGCCATTAGTTTCTTTTTCCAAATCATACACAGCACAAAAGCACTTGCCCCTTCCTCATTTCAAAGTTTGTGTGTGTGTGTGTGTTTTTTTGTTGTTGTTTATTTGTCACGTTTGAATGTTTCAGATCGTTAAAGAAATTTTGATATTAGACAAAGCAAATCTTAGCAAATTCAAACTGCAGTTTTAACATGATGCTTACATGACATAAGCAAAAGAAATATTAAAACCCACCTGGCTCTGTGTGAAAATGTAATTGCCCCCTAAGCCTAATAACTGGTGCTGCCACACTTGGCAACAAGAACCTCAATCAAGTGTTCGTGTAAGCTGGCAATGAGTCTTTCACACCACTGTGGAGGAATTTTGGCCCACTCTTCTTTGCAGAATTGTTTTAATTTAGCCCGTTGGAGGATTTTCAAGCATGAACAGCCTGTTTAAGGTCATGCCAAATCATTTCCATTGGATGCAAGTCTGGACTTTGACTAGGCCACTCCAAAACCTTCATTTGTTTTGTTGAGCCGTTCAAAGGTGAGCTTGCTGGTGTGTTTTGGATCATTGTCCTGCTCCATAACTCAAGCCTTAGGGTACAAACTGGCCAAACATTCTGCTTCAGGGTTTTCTGGTTTAGAGCAGAATTCATGGTTTCATCAATTATAACAAGTTGTTCAGCAGTCTCTGACCATCACACTACCACCACCATGTTTGACTGTTGGTATGAAATTTATGAAATGCTGTCTTAATTTTATGCCAGATGTAACGGGACTCAAACCTTTCAAAAAGTTCAGTTTTTGTCTCGTCAGTCCACACAATATTTCCCCAAAGGCCTTGTGGATGATCAAGATGTTGTTTTGCAAATGCGAGATGAGTCTTTATGCTCTTTTTGGTCAGCAGTGATTTTCTCCTTGGACTCTCCCATGGATGCCATTTTTGCTCAGTCTCTTTCTTATTGGTGAATCATGAACTCTGAGGCAGATGAGGCCTGCAGTTCTGTAAATGTTGTTCTAGATTCTGTTGTGGCCTTCTTTGAGTAATTTGTGTAGGTTGGTCACTCCTGGGAAGGTTCACCACCATTCCAGGTTTTCTCCATTTATGGATAACGACTCTCACCATCATTCACTGGCCATCATGTGTTGCTTTCTGACATCTTTTGGCCACTTCACCTCGCCAGACAGGATCTATTCATGGGTTTTCTTAATTCAGCAGGTCTAGCAGTAATCGACCCTGGCTGGTGAAAGTGAACTCAACTTTCCAAAAAATGTGGTTAATTACAGTAAATGAATTTAAACTCAAATTTATGTAATTTTTCTTCAAACAATAACTGTATCTTCGTCATTTATTCATTAGCTATGGTAATGCTTTATATGCCACAGACAACATTTCAATGTGAGAAGGAAAATCCAAAGACTGGCTTCATTTTAAATATGCACAAAATCTTCCTTCCTCTCAGTGAAGTTACACAGCAACTCTCCTATTTTGGTCAGACAAGGGCCAAATTTAGCACCCAAATCAATCCCTGCCTTCCATTATGAAACATATTTAGAAGTTAATGAGAATGGGTATGAAGAATCAGTTAAAGATGTTTGGACAATCTGTATAATGATCACTTGACACATAAACCCCCAACACAGATGAAATAATAGCGGAAACCATCAGCTGCTGTTTCAGAAGAGTAAACTAGTTTAGTTGATGAGCCTTTTGTCTTTTATGTACTCACTTTCTCCCACACAACTGATGACTTTTACCCCAGCCATGTGTCACTATTATTTCAGTTACAATGATAACTGGATTTTTAGTTAGTCAGGTAGCATAAGTTCATGGAAGTTTTTTCAGTTAGTTATTGTTCAGCGTCATGTAGTGGGCACCAAAGAGAACAGAAGAGAACAGAATCATTATCATATTTCAACAAACGCTAAGGCTTCTATAAAGAGATGAAAACACTGCAGTCTATCACTTGCCTGTGGCTGTTTGTAGGCTTGTTCTTTGATGTTGTTCATTAGTTATTCAAGGATCTATTGATTAACCAAAATAATAGGCCTCGGAGTCATCTGGTTAATCAGTCTTTCACACATGCAAAGAATGAATTTAATGTTAACACATCCACCCTTTAGAGACACACACATGTGTGAGTGTGCACACACACAGACACATAAATACATGTGCCCTGTTAGCACATCCAGGTGGTTGAAGCACCATAACACTGTGAAAAATTCATCAAAGTGTGCAGACTTGGACACAGAGGACTTCAGCATGTGTTGATGTGTTCCTAAATAAATAAACAAATAAAATAAATAATGAAATAAAAAAGCATCAACAGCAAAAATAAGAATCTCTCTTTTTGACATTTAGCATTGCATTTAATTAAACAGTGAACCACGCGGTGATTAGGGCTCATGCCTCATGAGGGTGCCCCCCTCCCCAAACAGTAGTTTTAAAACCCTGGGGCTGGCCTTCCTGTTTATTGCCTCCCTGTAATGCAAACATAAGGGTCCCCTGCCAGTAAACACATGTTGATGGAAAAAACAGCTTGCACAGCTGGGAAGCCAACCCAGGTTAGAGTGACTGAGCACATGGGTAAATGAGCACACACACACACACACACACACACACACACACACACACACACACACACACACACACTTGCTTATTGTACTTGTGTCAGTGTGCAAATCAGGTTGAGTATAGGAAGGATAATCAAAGGAAATCATTCATCAATAACACACACACACAACACATAGTGTGTGTTTGCTGGGCCATAGTGAGCATGTGTTAAACCGTCATGGAGTGACTGAAGGCAGGGTTAGGGTGAGCTGTAAAACAGCAGGGTGTCTCCACCAGTTGTGCTGTGATAATAAAATCGACATCCATTGTGCAAAGTCTGTCACCAGGCATGCTGCTGTGATTGAAATGTATGATTTCCTATGGCTCGCACAGATGGACAGATAGATGAGGGCAAAACAGATGATACTTGCATCAGCATCAGTTCGAGCCAATAGTCTTAATTATATTGGCCTCCGTGGCATCAAATGGAGGGCGCCCTTGCTCCCCGAGCTTTTGAGCCTGTGAATAATTTATAAATAAAAAGGGGGTTTTCAGCTGTGGGTTTATTAATAATAAATATGGTTTGATATTTACTAAACTGTTCAGAGGGAGAAAGGGGTGACAGTTAAGACATTGTTTGCATGGTAATTGTAGGGAGGTAATAAATAAGGCATGAAGTGGAGATATATGGAAATGTGATTCACAGGGAAATGAGAATAATTTAACAAAATATTATCCCAGTCCCTATTTGACCTGGGGTCAATTAAAAAAAAGAGAGAGAGAGATGTCAGTCATGGCGAATGGAGTTGCACTTTAAAATTACAATCCCTTGCGTTCTCTTTTGTCTGGCTGGAGAGTGGCTAACGCTCAAGTGGGGGGAAAATGCATTCATACTGACACAAAACATTTGTTTATCTCGAATGAATATTAAGGAGAATAAAAATCATCCTCATCATTGCTACCAGAGGAAAAGAAGACATTTCTCTATCAAAACTGAACTCTGAGCGGCTCGAGCTGAAAGCCGAGGAATGCGAGTTGTGTTTTGCTTCAAAATCTTCTGTTCTTCTGGAAAAACTCTGCGTGGTTTTCAATGAAAACACATATTGCGCTGGTGCTATAAAAACGTTTTCTATAAAAATATGAAAAGTTCAAACACAAACTAATCATTTTCCCCTACCTGAGTCATGAAATACAGAGCGATTAACATCTTGCTCTATATACTGTGGTGTATGTCCATATTGCAGTGATTCAGTTCCTGGTCTAAGGTTTATGCTACTATCCATATGAGAAACATTACACCAGCTCTTACTGTAATTGTGATATTGAATGTTGAGCTGATCTGTGTCAACCATAACTCTAAATGCCGCTACAAGCTCATAATTCATGAGGACATTTACCTTTACTAGGAAGTGGTATCCATCTGCACGGCTCACAAGCAATTCAAAACCTGTCTCCTCTCTCCCATTCCGCTAGGATGATGTCAGGCTACTGCATCGGTCTGAAATCTGCAATTAAGCATTTTCCTTCCGCGTGATTGATGAGCAGGAGGAGGTCCATTAAAGCTCAACATGTAACCCGGGGCTCACTCTGAAGTCTACAGGACTATTTCCAGGCTCATATCAAATCCATGTCCTCTGCCCTAATATCAGAATATGACTCTGGCCACCCATGGATTCTGTTTTTGTCTGTAATGAAAGTCTCTCCGGGGATAAGGTTGAGGGATTCTTTTCCTCAGGGGTCAAGGAGAGGTTGAGGCTTCTGGCCCATGCTGTGCTTAGAAAAGGGTGTGGATTACAGGAATGTGGATGTTGACCTCAGTATCTACACATATATTGAAAAGATCTACGGTCTGATATTACACTAGATAAATAAGCAGCAAAGCTTTGACAGAATCGCCATTGTTTGACCCGGGATGAAGAGGGCTTTGTTTCCATCTCATGCGTGCTTGCACAATTTCTTCGTCCTCTTTTCGCAAGCCAGCACTTCGTCAACCTATCGTGCATTTTTCCCCCACTTCTTCACTAAAGTCGTTGCAGCATCGCCCGAATTTAAGATCAGACCGGCTGGGTCCTTGCCCGGCATGAGTGTGTTTTCGCTGATAAGTACAGCAGTAAGCTGTCTAAAATATTCATAGACTGATGCAGAGTTGTTGTCCCTTGATGGGCCTCACCATGTGCAACATCTGTTCCTGAT